TAGATAGATAGATAGATAGATAGATAGATAGATAGATAGATAGATAGATAGATAGATAGATAGATAGATAGATAGATAGATAGATAGATAGATAGTAACACAATATTTTAGGTGCAGGCATATTAGGCCAATGAGACCAATTTTGACAGAGAAAAGTTTTCCTCATTTTGAACATTGTCTACTCCCACTTGAGTCATTTGAAGAGAGATACTTCAACAGGCCATTGCGAAAAAATCTGGTCAGGATCTTACCAGCTATAGACAAGAGGGACAGTATCATTTTTATTTGTGATTAGTTTGGAACCATCTTGTTTAAGAAGAGGTGAAGTGCTCAGACGAGATGAACCATAGATGCAGTGTAAGCTCTCATATAATTTATGAGTGTTGTTTGCACCCACCCCCTGCTGAGTCACTCTAGTTTTATCATCGAACCAGTCATTTTTTAATTTTTTGTGATTACCTTCTGAAGATGTTCTTTGCAAGATCTCAATTCGTGTCGTGTTGACAGGGAATCTGGATTACTGTCTGAGGACTGTATCAGCTTTCTCTTTTTAAAAATGAGATTATGAACCTTTCTTTATGTTTTCATCAAACCCATCCCGATGAAAACGACTGGGGAAAACCAAGCGTTTCAGAGGCGAAAGTTTGTGTTAGTGATGAACAGTTTCTGTTTCTGAACATTTCTGTAACAGGTGAAGACCAATACTGTTTCATGAGCCCACACCATGTTTATCAATGACACCTGCCCGGGCAGTAAAGTCCGAGCCTACTCTGACGTTGGAATCACCCATCAAAAACAGTTTATCAGAACTTTGGATAGAGTATAGGGCGGCTTTGGGGTCACAATTGAATCTATTTTTGACACATTTGGGTTGGTCATCGTAAGGGCAAATGCACTCACAAATGTTGCATAATGGTTCTTGTGATTAATACTTATAGGAAAGGATTTCAGTTGGTTTACTAGGTGCTTTTACACCGCTAAGTCAAAACCATATTATTTATGTCCTACATTCTAAAAGATCTTCACCCTTTAAAGCCGTTCTTTCTTCTGACCTTCATCAGCAAACCTAATTTTACCTAGAGCAAGGTGACCGAGGTTCATAGGAGGTGAGTTCTATTGAAATAGTTGTCGTCCTCCTTTCACGATTGGAGCCCTAATGCTGAAGCGTACGAATATTCTCGCAACCAGTTTTCATCAGTTTTCTTTTATCATTTCGACCTCTTAACGGCTTCCCTACTGGTCTCGGGGAACCAGTCCTGGTAGATGAGGTGAATTTTCTTTAGGGCACCTTTTTTAGCCCCTCCTTTTGTGGGGATAGCAGTGCCCTCCCACACAGACTACTCAAATACCATGGATGCTGCCGAATCATTGTATCTTCGCCTCGACTCGGTAATAAAACGACCGAAGCCCAAGGCTACCTTACGTGCAAGTTTGTGCTAACAGCCCGGGTCGAAGTCGCACGTCTCCTATATTAGTACGATTGTGCTAATGAGGGCACATGTTTCAACAAATACATCTTAATTTTCCTTCATCCTCAGGGGCCGTATTACCATCTATTTCCCGATGGACATCGTAGGCCATGCCGTAGTCCCTGACTCTGACGAGCCTGCTAGACTGAGGGTCTCCTTCTTTGGAGGTAACTTCTTCTTCTTCTTCTTCTTCTTCTTCTTCTTCTTCTTCTTCTTCTTCTTCTTCCTCCTTAGTTGGACGTTGCTTCTCGGACCTTTGTGGAATAAAACAACGTTTTTTGGCCATGGTAAGCCAGGTTTCTCCGTCATGTTCCCATTTTCTGTGAGGTTTCTCCCCTTCCCTGCTTGTTAACCTATTATTTCTAAAAAATATAATTAATCGCACTGTTTTGTTCTTGCTCAAATGCGTATTTCATATTTTTCATAACTTACGCTTTTACAGTTAAAACTCCTTTTATTTCAGTAGTCTATTATTAATATTAATTGCATTAGCATCAAAACCCTCACAGGATGGCAGGTTATTGTTGAAAGCTCAGAAGAGACATCGTTTGAAACAAGTACACTGTACACAAATGCCTCTTAAGTGGCCCATGTCTTCGTTTGGTGCACAAGTGTTCAAAAACATGTTTTTAAATATGTTACAAAATGAATTGGACTGAACAGCACAAAACTGTGTTCTAGATACTCATATGCAAGTGAGCGTTAAGGAGATTATGTTTAGATGAATCACAGAGAAAAAGCAAATAAAAAAATATTATGCTACGTATCGTACTTAAACTTAAAATCCTAACCTGATAGAGAAAAAACTGAAACCAGACTCAGATTCTACTACCCAAATTTCATATGAAAATCATATTAACATGCCAAAGGACAAAACTAAAAGACCAATCATCAACCAGTGTAATATCATTTTATAACTATTATCAGCAAACGGCATGCAATTCTTCCTATTCACCCAGCTCATCCATCCTTCATCTTTGTATTTCTTAGAGGGTGTGACGTAGCAGCCTTGCCCCGAGGGATCAGAAGCCGAAGTGTGTCATATTAGAAAACATGTTTATAATGGCTGTTTACGTCTCTGACAGACGGTCGTGAACAGCTTAAGTTTGTTGTTGGTGGTTTTTCAGCCGCACATCTCTCGTACGCTGACTAGTAAGCAGACTGTTGCATTTTGAGCAAGCGGATCTTTGATTGATTGTGTGTCCCCCGCACACAATCCAAGAAGGAATATGACTAGTACTTTATATGATGACTGCTTATAGTTATAAGATATATTTAACACAGGAATTCCTTTCTACTCATAGTTCAACCAGAGAGCTCGAGACAGTCACAGTTCTCTTCCTCTTATCGTGGTGTTGAGCAAGTATTATTTTTTCCCGTTGTGTGGGTCAGTGTTACATGTTGTAGGTGTGTGTTTGCAGCAGTCCTTGAAACAGAGCTTTGACTTTCCTAGACTTCCCATCCCTCAGACAAGTTTCCAAATTTTACGTCTCGTTTTGATAGGTTAATATGACACATGGAAATAAAAGGTATATAATTGTACACAGTGATTAATTTAGGGCAAGGAGGTTATAACATAAGCTAGTTTTGTTGTAAAGTCCTTGATTTAGAAGCTTCAGTAGACGAGTGATAAGGGACCGCAGGCTCATAAATGAAAGTCATGCAGTGTTGGTGACACTTGTGGTAGGTGGTCACTGAAAATGTGTAAAGGAACAAAGCACAAAAACATTTACATAAGAACTGAGCATTGCACAGTAACATAGAGTCGAACCTTTTCTAACGGCCTCCTGTCCAAGACAATCACCTGTATAAAACAGCACTTTCCACTTCTCCCCTTTCTTTTTTCACCATTCTGTGACACTGTACAAATCGTCCACCTGCCTAAGACAATTTTTCTCTAGGAAAATTAGTGGCCGTCTCGTACAATTTCGACGGTACGTGGATTCAAAATACTATGTCTATGTAGCCTCTGAACATCATGTATGCATTCTGCTTGTCATAGCGATCAATAATATTATTATTTCCTCACAGGAATCGATAGAAATAGGCGGGTGGTTGGGGAATGGCACTGGTGGGCGGGTCCTACTTCTCCACCGTCCCGCTTTTGTTTTTGTCTGTCTGTCTGTCTGTCTGTCTGTCTGTCTGTCTGTCTGTCTGTCTGTCTGTCTGTCTGTCTGTCTGTCTGTTTCCCCACCTTACATAACATCCTTTGTGTCGATGTGCTTTCAAGCACGCAACTAATAAATAAACAAATATACAAGCTAACCAAAAACAAATTTTAAAAGAAAAAACTGTTAGTGTGTTCCGTTTATTTTTATTTTTTTCTCATTTCTCTACAGACGACGACGAGGAGGAAGATCCCAACTATTTGGTTGTCGACACGGACTACGAAACTTTTGCAGTTGTCTTCTCCTGTCGACCGATCTATACAATCTTCAACATGCGTAAGTAGAGATGTCGCAGGTACTGATTTTCCGAAAAAAATCAAGAATCTAAAATTTTCTGGATTCCATAATATTATAATCATTACAAACGAGACAAGGGTAGATCAAGCGCAACTTACTTCGAGAGCCGAAAGAGAAGGATCACGGGTAAGGATAGGGAGAGTATAGCATTTTTGAGAGCAGTCGAGCTAAGTAATGAATGGCGAATGATGATCGCCGATATATGTCGCAGATTTGGCACTTGATGATAATGATGATTATATTTCTGCTTAGATTCTAACTTTTATCTATTTTTTTCATATCATTTTTCATGTCATATTACAGTTTATGTAAACAGTAGTCTTGACCTAATATTAAGATGCAGTTGACAATATGATCTATACATTTTGAGTTCCCTCGGGTACGTTTCAATGAGGTCCGAATAGTTCAGGATTTTTGCGCGTTGCTAGTTTGCACCTCTGAGACATGCACGGATAGTTGAACTGGGCAAAGAATCCATTCCGGAACCGATTCCCACGATTAATGCCACGGATGAAAAGTACCGACTCCTTTTTATGAAAACCAAAGGATCTTCTTCTTATTTTTCTTAGAATTTATGTTTGAAAAATAAAAGTTGATACTTCGTAGTGTTCCGAAATCAATGTTATCCTACATCCTGAAGATGTTGTTTGGAGTCAATTAGGTAACCATGGGAAGAAATCACATCACTAGAAAGTAAGTAAATGGGTTCGGAATCGAGTCCTAGCTTTCAACAAAGAGTCTACATAACAAGAGGGGCCACTCCTCTCTTTGAGCCAATTAAAAAAGTGTCCTTAAAATTAGGTGGCGCCCTCTTCGCAAATGCGCACCTTTTGCGAACAGAGTTACCCTACTTGTGTCAAAAAAATCAAAGTGAAACTAGCAAGTTTTAAAATAAATTTCGGAAGAACCCTTTTTTAAAATGGTTACGCTGACAAAAAACCTCTTCCGGAGGAAAGGGTGATTGTTTTCTTCGTTTAATTTGACTTTGGAATGAAAGGCGAGAGGTCATTAAAATTTTAAAACACCCTAAAACCAAAAAACTCCGCACTGAACAAACCCGAACTGCTAATGATTACAGCAGTCGATCTGCGAACGCAAGGAGGTGCTATTCCTATTCTTCTTCTGGAAAAACTAAAGAGAGCTTCAAAACAGACTGCAGCGCCATCTGAAGCAAAGAGCGGACTTCCGGCAGACACTTTTTTGGCTGAGTGGACCATCTTGTTATGTACTATCTTTGCTTTCAACAATCGGGAACCGAGCCGCCCAGCACTAACGGATAGCGAGAAGAATGTAACAATGGTTGTTTATTGTAGGTGTTTTTCGTCTCTGTCTACACAGTTTTTATCATTTAGCAGGCAGTCTCATTCGATCCTGCAAGCTAGGGCCAAAGAGGGCTGTGAGTACCAGTAGACAGAAGGAGGTAATAGAATAACTTGCATGAGCAATTTCCCATGTATTTACGGGATGCGTCGCCCGCCCAGTAGCCTAATCCCATGTATTTACGGGATGCGCCTTATTGATCTATATTCTACTACTACTACTACTACTACTACTACTACTACTACTACTACTACTACTACTATTACTACTACTACTACTACTAGATCTACTACTACTACTAATAATAATAATAATACAAATAATGATAATGATAATGATAGTGATAATAATAATTGCATTTATATAGCGCTTATCCATGCTCTAGAGCATATGAGCTTTACAACTATTATTACCCCTGCAGACCCTAGAACACTCAGAAACATTCTCGACTTCCGCGGAAGCATACAGTTCAAGCTGCGGATTTAACTTCCGCAAACACTATCAAACTGACAAGATCGTTCACTGTCTATAGCTGGGTACCCAATTCCACCTGGGTGTAGTGAGGAAAATTCGTACAAAGTGCCTTTCCCAAGGACACAACGTCGGGCACCTGACGGGATTCGAACCTACGACCTTACGGTTGCGAGTCCGAGTGCTTAACCAATAGGCCCCGGACGCCTTTGGTGTTTTTCGGCTACAATCTACAGGAAACGGCGAACCAACAGTTGACCCGCCTGTATGGTTTCGACTAAATTTTGGTAAAGTTATGTGCAATACTTTTTGAACTGTTACGGACTCTGTCAGTCACCCCCGCATTGCAATAGATGATTTTATTATAAATTGGGAGTTTTTTTTTTAATTGCGTAACCCTCCCAGATATTGTCATTTAAAAATAGATAAAATAAAGATTCCTCAATGTAATCAGATGCAGTTTTCTTTTTCTGTTAAAGTATTTCTTTCTTTCTTTTGATACATATTGTTTATCATGATAGTTTTCACAATCTTTTTGTGGTTGATTCAGTACACCCCAAAGCTGCCAGGCTGCAATGGTTGCTGGGTGAAAAATATATAAGGTTAAAAGGATTTTTTTAAATATAATAATCCAAAAACCCTTCCGACGCTGGAATCGAAATCATAATCCTCCACGTGTGAAGGCGACGTGCCTTTTCACTCTACCACAGACGCCGGAGGACACGGAGAGGATAAGGATAGAAAGGGATTAAATAGTATACTTTACAGTTCCTATGCTAAGAGAAATTAAAACGTGCGTTTTCTCAATCGTTTGAGGAGTAAAGTAGGCGTACGTTGGTCTTTTCACACCATCCATCCGTTCGGGCTCTCTTAGTAGGGTGGAATTTTTTTGTCTATCTCTTTTAGCTTCTTAACCTTTCGTGAGAGCGAGAGGTTCCAAGACGTTATTTAAGTCTATTCAAGTGTCCTAATAACTTCATTTGTCTCTTGCAAATTAACTGGTTATATTAGTATTAGTCCCAAGAAGTTTACTCTCAACACAATGTCACTTTGTTCCTTTGCTTTACATCAAATTTTCGTTTAATTCTTCCATATAAAAAGAGAATGCTACCGATAATGTTCTAGACGTCATTTCCAAGACAGTAAAAGTTACCCCCCCCCCCCCTTTCCTCTGAAATCGGAACCCACATGTACGCACGTACCGAGGTCTCCGCTCTCCTTGGGTACATTTGAGTCGACATAACCTCGTCATGCACGAAAGACGCTTTCAACTTTTTCTGAGAATTGGGTTTGAACTTTACTTTCACCCTCCTTTCCCCCACAGAGATGGCCTGGATTCTGACCAGGGAAGCAGATGCTGTACCCGCCAACATTGACGACTTGAAGGACGCGCTGACTGATTTCCGCATTGATGTCTCACATTTTCAAAAAACTCGCCAGACGAACTGCCCGTCGCGGAGAAGTAAATGATAAAACAAACAAACAATAAACTAAAAAAAAACCGAAGTTTGCCAACTGTGTACGAAATAATTTTTAAAAAAAATTACAGTATTGCATGTTAAGCCTATGCACTTTTGCACTGAATAAAAACTCAGAATCATTACGAAAGGACTTTGATTTTGTTCTTAACATTCTGTTGCCTTATTCACTTACTTACGTCTGCCTCTCGCGACCTTATAGAGCGTACTATGTAGATCATTATCAAGCTCTGTCTCTCGAAACGTCAAGATATCGCGTAGTGGTTACGCGCTTCACTGTCGCACGCAAGAGAGATCCGAGTTCGGTTCCAGAGTGGGACGAATTTATGTTGATTGTATAGTACGTCCACCTTACAATATTGTGATGCTATCTATCATATTATGAGTTTTACATTTTGAAATTTAATAAATCACGCGTCGTCAGTTTAATAGTAAGGATATCGGACTCTTCATCGTAAAGTTGTGGGTTTGAGGTTCGAGACTGAGCTCGGGGTGTGAGAGGGAGGAGGGGGGAGGGGGGGAGGAGATACTCTCAAAATGGTTTTATATGCATACACTTGCATATATAACACACATAATATGAATAGTTTATTACACGAGTTAAGGCTGTAGATCATGCTTCATCCTGCGAGTTCAATTGACAAGTTGAAATCATAGGTTTCAACGAAGGATTACAACTGGCAATTTCACAATCAGGATAACTATAGTCTACCACTGGTTTGTTTTATACCATATTGGTATCAGCTGACGAAATATATCCTAATAAGACAAAGTTCAATTAACCAGTGAAGTGATTAAGTAGCTCCTCTTAAGAGGCTCGTATGGAAAAAAATTCATGTCAATTAGAAAAATGTCTATTGTTTTTTTTCTCCAATTTTTAAACACTCTAAGTATGTTATCCATGTGTTTCCCTCTTCTAAATAACCCCCAAGCAGAACTATAATGACGTACACATTCGCAGAGCAAGACGAAGTGCACACGATTCAAAAGTGAAAATTTAAAAAATTACATTAATCTTTTATGCTACCTTCTCGATGGAACACAGAAGACTTTAACTTTGACCATAAAAACATCATTCAATTTTGCAACTAAAACATTCCAAATGCCATGAGGCGTTAGCATTAATACACCACCACATTCTGACGTAGTCCCGGTTCACGTAAGTGCACACCATTTGACTCAACTTGGAATCAAATAAAGGGCAATGGGGAATAAACAGACTGTGCCTACTCACGATGATAGCACAACTGGTAGAATGGTATTTTGCGCTTCTTTTGTGTGCCCATGGCTATCGCGCTTCGTAGCCAAGTCTTATCTATACAGGACAAAGAGTGGCTAGCATAATAGTTTGGAGCCCTTGGTACATGCAGAGTAGCTGCAAAATCACAATAACAATGGGTTTAATCCCGTAAATACAGAGATTAGTGTGTCCATATTCTATCTCCCACACACACAAACCCCTAGTCTCTCTCTCTCTCTCTCTCTCTCTCTCTCTCTCTCTCTCTCTCTCTCTCTCTCTCTCTCTCTCTCTCTCTCTCTCGCTTTCTATCACTCTTTCTCATTACTTTTTTTTCTTTCTTTCTCTCTCTAGCTCTCTCTTTGTATGTCACACACATACACACATGTACACCCCCCCCCCCCCCACACACACACACAGACACACACAAACACACTCACGCACACACAAACACACTCACACAACCAATCAGTTTTTCTTACGTGGGGTGCATTGTCTATGGATGAACCATAGATGTACACTAGCACCAGTACGCTAGAAACAGTACGCCTCTCTCTCTCTCTATTTCTCTCTCTCTCTCTCTCTGTCTCTGTCTCTGTCTGTCTCTCTCTCTCTCTCTCTCTCTCTCTCTCTCTCTCTCTCTGTCTCTGTCTCTGTCTCTCTCTCTCTCTCTCTCTCTCTCTCTCTCTCTCTCTCTGTCTCTGTCTCTGTCTCTGTCTCTCTCTCTCTCTCTCTCTCTCTCTCTCTCTCTCTCTCTCTCTCTCTCTCGCCTTGCTACGCTATAGCCACATTCGACACCGGCGCCCGCTATGTTTGAGTTGGCCAGCTGTGTGAAGGAGTTCATAAGAGGAGGAGTTCATAGGCCTTCTCGGACAAGGGCAAAAAATATCGGAGGTCCCGTGTGCCAGTTTCGCACGTAAAAGATCCCTTGGTGGTCTAAAATCGATGAGAGTAGGCACTGAAGGTAGGCTTTGAAACGCCCAGGTTCCTAATATTTTTTTATATTTTCTTCAAAACATAGAACAAGATTTAATCTATCTAAATTCCTATCAATCTCATTTCTACCAATGAAGAGAATTTTAAAGAAAGAGGGGTACCTTTGGAGGCTTTGTTAGTACACTGATTAACACAGCAGTGTTACCGTATGAAGTTGCGAGCGCGTAAAACTTTTACTAGAACTAAACTAAACATCAGTGTTGCACCATCCTTTCTGCTCTCATTTTCTTCAATCTTCCCCTTTCAAATTAATCAAACGTTTGCTGGTGATGAATTTATTGTAGAGAAAGTCTCTAAGACGCTAATCCAGAAAGGAATTAGAGGTTTCACAAGCTGGCACTTTTAAGAGAATCTCTTTGGATTAAAATACAACTTTAGAATTTAATAAAACACCTTACTTAATAAGAGCAGAGACACACCCACTCACATGAAAACAAACTTCTTGGCCAACTCAAACATGGCTGCCAACGAACTCAAAATTTCCGTGTCACGTGGCCTCGTACTATTTCCAATGTAAAAGGGAACTATAGGATGAGCCAATCAACTAGAAGAGAAGAAACTGCCTTCAAATCTGATCAACTTCCGCCCAAAGACTCAATGCTAACGACATCAGACGATGCCACCACAATAACATACAGATTGTTCACCAGTCCTGTTCAGACGTTGCATCTACGTCCGCTCTATTTACCCCATGAGATTCTAAGTATGAACGTTGTGTATATTCCTCCACACACCAACGTCCCAATCGCCTCCGATACACTATCCGACCTCATTCACAACCAAACCGCAAAATTTTCTGACGCGGCTGTCTTTACAACCGGGGACTTAAACAGCAGTACACTCTTCACGCCGCCCTATCAAACCTGACCCAGTACGTCGAGGTTCCAACAACACGCCAAAGGACAATAGATCTGTGATACGGCAATATCACCCAAACCTACAAGTGTGGTGCCTCCAACACATCGGTAACCACAACATGTCATTACTACTTCCTCTGTATCGCCCTCTGTATCGACGAACGAAGCCAGAAGTTCGAACAGACAGCACCTGGACTGAAGAAAGCGAAGATCAACTGAGAAGATGTTTGACTGTACCAGCTGGAATGCCTTTTTTAATGCATATAGTGATAACAATGATTAATGTACAACAGTCAGAGACTACTTTAATTTTTGTCAGGATATAGATCTAGTGGCACTTAAAAAACAAGTTATCATCTTCCCTAACTCTAAACCGTTGATAAATTCGAGAAACAAAGACCTAATCCATAAAAAGAAAAACGCTTTTAAAAGTCATAACAAAACAGAACTTAAAAGTCATAGGCACAGTTATAAGGGGGGGGCTACACCTCCAAAGTCATGATTCGGCTCAAAATTATGGAATTTGAGTTGTAGGCATTTTTAGCTTCCTCAACCTCTCCTATAACTATTTCATTGCATAAGAACCTCCAAAAAGTATTTTTCCCTTACCGGGCATGTTTGTCACCACCATTTCCTTATAGAGTCAATATTTTATTTTTCTTTATCGGCCGTTTTCTCGAAACGCGACTTTTCTCTATACTTTTAAAAATAAAAACGATTTTTCGTCCAATCTTAATGAAAGACTAAACATTCGTTTGTTGAATTTTTTATATATGAAATAGATGTTTGTTGGGCAATGTCTAGAGTGGATTTTCACGGATTTTTTGCAAACTTGAAAGCTACCTCAGGAAATATTCATTAAAAATGTTCTAATTCGCTTAAGAAAAAACCAACACGCACACATTTTTAGATCTAATGTTTTTTTAACACTTATGAAAAAAAAACCAATCAATTTCCAGGAGCAATAAGTGCGGTATTCATTACGTAAGACATGTCAACAAAATCCAATGTCCATGGAAATGAAACTTTTTTCTCCTATTTTAAGACTCCTTACTATGTTTGTTATATGTGGGAAATTTGGGAAAATTTGGTCCAGTAATAAGCGAGATAGCCTTCAGGTGTAGCCCCCCCCCCCCCCCCCCCCTTTAAGACCGCAGAGGGCTACAAAGAACCAACAAACGTATGCATTGACAACAAAGAGAACTATACAAATAAACCTTTTTCTCTCGATTTGGCAAAGGCAGTTTGTGTGACTTGCCATGACATGTGAACACCGACACAAATGAAAATAGTGATAAATGTCGAAGAACGTTAGGTTAGACGATGATCTATCTGTGTTTGGACGTGTGGATGTGAGAAAGGCGTGTGGCCCTGACGGTGTGAAAAACAAAAATTCTAAAAATGTGTTCAGCACAAATGTGTTCTATTTACACCTAGATTTATATTATCAACCAGTCGTTGCAGACACAAGTTATTCCCACTATTTGGAAATGTTTAGAAATCGCCCCCCCCCCCCACCCCTTTCCAAAACCCCCACCCCAACAACCCAGAAATAAATGTCCTAAGACCAATAGCCTTAACTTTCGTAGTTAAAAAATGTCTAGAAAAAATTGTGCTAAAAAGACTACGAACATACATTGAGTCCATCCAGGACCCTCTACACTTCGCATATCGTCATGGGAGAAGAGAAGAAGACGCCATTTTACTATTTCTGGACGACATGATATATAGACACTTAGAGAAACCAAAAACATACTGTAGGATCCTGATTGTTGATTTTTCTTCAGCCTTTAATACTACCCATCCATCTATGATTTTGTAGAAAGTAGAAAAAATAGGTGTCAACGTCAATTTAGCATCATGGATAGAGACTTTTTTGACCACCCGAACCAAGAATGTAACATTAAAACATTATTCATCGACACTCATCACGACAAATAAATACAGGGGCCCTTTAATTAAGGATGAGTTTTGTCACCAGTTGTATTTGCACTATACACAAACGATTGCAAATAAACAACAGTAGCATCATGTT